ATACTGAATTGTGTATTTTAGATGACTGAATTTCAAGTAAATTATAACATCAAAGAAGGTGTTAAGGAATGAGTGTTGAAAACTCATTTTCTACTAAAAATTTATATGATTTTCATCTTTCTTAATTTCTTAAATTAAAAAATCTAATAGTAAATCAGTCTTAAATCTTGGCCTGAGTATAAATTGGTATTGATACATGTATGTTACTAGTAGGTATGATATACTGATATTTTGTTTAGGATTTTTTGAGACCGTATGAGAAAAATTGGTCTGTCATTGTTTTTCTTGTCAAGTTTTTGTTTTCAGTTCAGTTTAGTCTCTCAGTCATGTCCGATTCTTTGCAACCCCATGAACTGCAGCATGCCAGGCCTTCCTGTCCATCACCAACTCCCAGAGTCCACCCAAACCCATGTCCACCGAGTCGTTGATGCCATCCAACCATCTCATCCTCTGTTGTCCCCTTCTCCTCCTGCCCTCAATCTTTCCCAGCATCACGATCTTTTCAAATGAGTTAGCTCTTCGCATCAGGTGGCCAAAGTATTGGAGTTTCAGTTTCAGCATCAGTCCTTCCAATGAATACCCAGGATTGATCTCCTTTAGGATGGACTGGTTGGATCTCCTTGCAGTCCAAGGGACTCTCAAGAGTCTTCCCCAACACCACAGTTCAAAAGCATCAATTCTTCTGCACTTAGCTTTCTTTATAGTCCAACTCTCACATCCATACATGACCACTGGACTAGACGGACCTTTGTTGGCAAAGTAATGTCTCTGCTTTTTAATATGCTGTCTATGTTGGTCATAACTTTCCTTCCAAGGAGTAAGCATCTTTTAATTTCATGGCTGCAGTCACCATCTGCAGTCATTTTGGAGCTCAGAAAAATAAAGTCAGCCCCTGTTTCCGCTGTTCTCCCATCTATTTGCCATGAAGCGATGGGACTGGATGCCATGATCTTAGTTTCCTGAATGTTGAGCTTGAAGGCAACTTTTTCACTCTCCTCTTTCACTTTCATCAAGAGGCTCTTTAGTTCTTCTTCACTTTCTGCCATAAGGGTAGTGTCGTCTGCATATCTTAGGTTATTGATATTTCTCCCGGCAATCTTGATTCCAGCTTGTGCTTCCTCCAGCCCAGAGTTTCTCATGATGTACTCTGCATATAAGTTAAATAAGCAGGGTGACAATATACAGCCTTGACCTACTCCTTTTCCTATTTGGAACCAGTCTGTTGTTCCATGTCCAGTTCTAACCGTTGCTTCCTGACCTGCATACAGGTTTCTCAAGAGGCAGGTGAGGTGGTTTGGTATGCCCATCTCTTTCAGAATTTTCCACAGTTTATTGTGATCCACACAGTCAAAGGCTTTGGCATTGTCAATAAAGCAGAAATAGATGTTTTTCTGGAACTCTCTTGCTTTTTTGATGATCCAGCAGATGTTGGCAATTTGATCTCTGGTTCCTCTGCCTTTTCTAAAACCAGCTTGAACATCTGGAATTTCACGGTTCACGTATTGCTGAAGCGTGGCTTGGAGAATTTTGAGCATTACTAGCGTGTAAGATGAGTGCAATTGTGTGGTAGTTTGAGCATTCTTTGGCATTGCCTTTCCTTGGGATTGGAATGAAAACTGACTTTTTCCAGTCCTGTGGCCACTGCTGAATTTTCCAAATTTGCTGGCATATTGAGTGCGGCACTTCACAGCATCATCTTTCAGGGTTTGAAAGAGCTCAGCTGGAATTCCATCACCTCCATTAGCTTTGTTCGTAGTGATGCTTTCTAAGGCCCACTTGACTTCACATTCCAGGATGTCTGGCTCTAGGTGAGTGACCACACCATTGTGATTATCTGGGTCGTGAAGATCTTTTTTGTACAGTCTTCTGTGTATTCTTGCCACTTCTTAATATGTTCTGCTTCTGTTAGGTCTTTACCATCTCTGTCCTTTATTGAGCCCATCTTTGCATGAAACTGTTCTTCATTTCAGCATTTAAGATTGATGGTAAATGTTTTTCATTATATTTTTGGAATAATTTACTTTTGCAGCCATATGGGCAAGCAGTTTTCTCTGTAGGAAAGTTTTAAATTACATATTCAATTTTTAAAATATTTATTTGCATTTTCAGATTTTCTGTTTCTTTGTCAATTTTAATAAGTTATGTTTTCCTAGGAATTTGTTCATTTCATGTCATTTTTCAAATTCATTGAGTCAGAATTATTAGTAGTTTTATTGTTTGTGAAATCTTTGGTATCACCGTCCTTTTCATTCTCAATTGAGACTTGTGCCTTCTCTGATTATTTGTGATGCGTCTTGCTAAAATGTCTGTTATTTATTTTAGTTTTTTTCAAAAGCTGATTGTTTTGATTTTCCTCTCATACATTTGTTTTCTATTAAAAGTTTCTTGCTTCAGTTTTTGCTATTTCTTTTCTTCTACTTTGGGATTAGTTTCATATTTTTTATTTCTTGATAGGAACATTTGACTGCTTTATCAGTTAATGTGAAATGTCTGTTAAAGTCCACTTTAGTTGTCCGCTGTAGACAGTTTTTTCATTTTAGTTCTGTGAATTTTTGCTTTATGTATTTTGGGGCTGTGTTTTTTATGTATGCCAGTTTAGAATTTTTACGTCTTTTTTAATGGATCATCATATTTATTATAAAATAACCCTCTCGTTGAGTGATATTTCTTGCCTTCTCTTTTGTTAGAGATGAAGATACCTTTACAAGTTTTCTTTTGGTTAGTGTTTGTATGTTTTTTACAGTTTTATTTTAGCCAGCCAGTGCTCTTACATTTTAAGAAGATCCCTTATAAGCGGTATACAATAAGTTTTAAAACTCTCCTCTCATAATGCCTGAAGAATTTCCTGTAGTGCTTCTTTTGGTTTGGGCCTGCTGGTGTGTTTGAGGATGTGTCTGTTAGTTGGTGTGTAAAATGTTTTTATTCATCATTTTGAAGGATAGGTTTGATTAGATTGGAATTCTAGATTGGCAGTTCGTTTCTTTTCCCACTTTAAAGACATTCATTTTCTGTCTCACACATTTGTGTGGATAAAGCTGCACTCCATCATCAGACACGTCTTCTATACTTCTCTGCTGGGACTGATGTGCAGTGAAATGGGCTACATATGTTAAGAGAAAACCTTGATTTCCTTTAGCTCCTGGCATGGTTTCTAGCAGCTTTGTCTTTTTAACCTGAGTGTGGTTTTCAAGCCTGCTGCGTGGTCACAGGATCAGAATGTTGGTAAGACCCCCAGTCGGAGCTCTAGTTCGTGTGTTAGAGGGTACCCTAACGGTGCCCTGGGGTCCGAGGACATGGATCCCATGATTCAGTTACGAGGGCTCCTTCAGGACTGCTTCCTCAGAGTCCCTGTCTGTCCCATCAGCTTTCACTTTGTGGCTTTGGCTCCTCTTCTGTCTGTTCCCTTCCCTCATATCATACTACATTTAGCTACATATGCAGTCTGGAAAAGCAGTCTGATGACCCTATTTGCAAGGAAGAAATGGAGGCATAGACGTAGAGAAGGGACTTGTGGCCACAGCCGGGCAGGAGAGGGTGGGATGAATTGAGAAAGTAGCATCGATATATATACACTGCCGTGTGTAAAATAGCTAGCTAGTACGAAGCGGCCACGTAAGACAGGGAGCTTAGCCCGGGGCTGGGTGATGACCTAGAGGGGGAGGATGGGAGAGGTGCAAGGGATGAGGGGTGGGGGGTGGGAGGGAGGCTCAGGAAGGAGGGCGTGTGGGTTCTAGGGTATGGGTTTTATCAACTGCAGTTCTCAATTTCACAGGAAGTGTGTCGGCTCAAAATGTCTCAGCTTCAGCTGCTACTTGCTTGTTACATCTAGTCCTGATCAACTTATAATTGGCCCGTAAGAGAGTAGGTAGCCGAGTAGGTACCTTCTATGCTGTAATTTTACTTTGTTTTTTATTTGTCTATTTATTTAAATGAGGACTTACCTTTACTCAGAGGGTTTAATTTTACTAAAAAGAATGTCTTTGTTGAGACACAAAGGAAATGATCCCTTGAAAATGAAGTGAAAGTTGCTCAGTCGTGTCTGACTCTTTGTGACCCCATGGACTCTACAGTCCATGGAATTCTCCAGGCCAGAATACTGGAGTGGGTAGCCTTTCCCTTCTCCAGGGGATCTTCCCAACCCAGGGATCGAACCCAGATCTCCCGCATTGCAGGTGGATTCTTTACCAGCTGAGCCACAAGGGAAGCCCAAGAATACAAAGGAGTGGGTAGCCTATCCCTTCTCCAGCGGATCTTCCCGACCCAGGAATCGAACTGGGCTCTCCTGCATTGCAGGTGGATTCTTTGCCAAACTGAGCTATGAGAGAAGCCCCGAATGATCCCTTAAGGAAGTAATTATATTTATTATCTGTTCCAAAGTTATGATTTTGTGGTAAACTCATAATTATGAAGTTGTTGGTTTGTATGTATTTTCAAGTCAGTGATTCTCAGATGTGATCTGCAGTCACTAAGTCAGGCATCCATAAAATAACAGTGATTTTCATAGCAGTAAGGTGTGAATTGCACATTTCATTGGGTTGGCATTTGCACTGATGGGGCAGAAGCAGTGGTGGATAGAACTGCCAGCATCTTGTCAGGAACCAAGGAAGTGGCATCAATCTGTAGTCATTTATGTTGACATGAATGGATTTATTTGTATTCAGTGGATAAATAATTTAAAATTTTAATTGGGTTCGTTTTCTAATAGAATACTCTGGATAGACACATGTATAATCTTAACAGAACCTCTTCCTCTAAGAGTATAAGGGGGTCCTGACATGAGAGTTTGAGAAGCATTCCTTTCAGTCCTTGGTAGATGTATAGACAAGCAAGTATTTTGTTTAATCTGATGCTGATTTTTGGGAAGAAAAGCTTAGAGAATATGATTTCTTTGATAGATAAATCCAGTCTGTCTTCAAGTTTTATGTGAATCTTAAGTAAATGTTCCATTCATTGCCTTAAAATTTTAACTAGGTTATATTCGTAAATAAAATACTTTGCAGGTGCTGATCTTAAGGAAAGAGCCAAAATGAGTTCCAGTGAAGTTGGTCCTTTTGTCTCCAAAATAAGAGCAATGATTAATGAAATTGGTAAGTACAATTGTCCTTGTAGCATGGTTAAAGTGACCTTAAATATTGGATTTTAAAAGTTGCACACTGTTTTTAAGTATTGTGAAGTGAAAGTTGCTCAGTCTTGTCCAACTCTTTGCTACCCCATGGACTGTATGGTGCATGCAATTCTCTGGGCCAGAATATTGGAGTGGGTAGCCTTTCTCTTCTCCAGGGGATCTTCCTGTCTTTATGTATAAGCTTTGGCTAAAATTTTTACATAATTAGATAATGATGGTGTATAGCTGGTTGTAAAACAGAATGTATGTTTAATTTGAAAAATTGTGAAAAATATTTTGTAATTAAACCTGCCTCATATTTATGATGACATTACTTATGGAGGTAATTATTAGAAAAAAAATAATTTGGCATAAGTGTTTGACATGAGTGTATTTCTTAAATAATTGCATTCACAGACATACAGATTTGGATTTATTTTTTGTGTGAGTGGGATAATACTGTTTCTTTAGAATTACAGTCTTCTTTGTAAGGTTTATATTTAAGTACATATAAATTTGCTTTTATTATTAATACCTTTTAATACATTACTGCATAGTATCCATGGTCTTACCCAGAATTTTATTTATTTATTTTTTCCTTTATTTTTATTAGTTGGAGGCTAATTACTTTACAGTATTGTAGTGGTTTTTGCCCTACATTGACATGAATCAGCTATGGATTTACATGTGTTCCCCATCCTGAACCCGCCTCCCACCTCCCTCCCCATCCCATCCCTCTGGGTCATCCCAGTGCACCAGGCCCAAGCACTTGTCTCATGCATCCAGCCTGGACTGGCAATCTGTTTCACACTTGATAATATACATGTTTCGAAGCTGTTCTCTCAGATCATCCCACCCTAGCCTTCTCCCATAGAATTTTAAATTATTTCTTCATTAATGAACATTGGATTTTTTTGTTTGTTTGTTTTGGCTGTTTTATTTTCATGTTTTTTTAAACTGCTTTTTTTGTTTATAATAAAATAGTGATTCCTTTGTACAAATTCTTTTAGAACATTAGTATATATAAGATAGATTTCTAAATATGGTATGGCAGTTCTAAGTATCATGTGTTCATTTTACATTTTAATAAATACTACCAGATTATATTGCAAAAAGATTATAATAATTTATATTCCATCAGTTATATGACAGTACCTGTTTCTTCATGTTCTTGCAGCATTTAACATTACTTTTTTAGTTTGCCAAAGTTAAAGAAAAAATAGATCTTAACATTTTAATTTGCACTTTCCCAGATGCTAGTGTAATGTTATATCTTTTCAAATTAAACTTGCCTTTCCCCTTCTGTAGATTGCCTTTTCACATTCATCTCCTTTTCTATAGCATCATTTAATAACTGTTTACTGAAAAGCCAGTTTTATATTGAGCTTTTGTTGTTAAATGTATTACAGGTATTGTCTCTTAATATTCCACCCTAATTCAGTTCCAGGAGCTTTATATATCTAGAGGGTACTAAGTTCTCTTTATTTTATTATTTGTTTTTAACTGAAGATTTCTTTGCTAATCCTCACATCTCAGTTCTTCCAAATGAATTTAGGATAGTTAATTTTAAAGGGAAGAAGAAAAATAGTCTCGAGCCTGTGATTGGAATTTCTGTAAATATTGTTTATAAAGAATTAACATATTTATGATACAGAATCTTTCCATTCGCCATGTGCATAGCTTTCATTGTATGGGGGGATCATTCATGTTTTAATGTTCTTTAAGAAAGTTTTCTTCACACTGGCTTCAGTCTTGTATCTTTTTTCCCTCTCAGATTTATCCGTATTTTATAGCACTTATTCCTCTGAATGGAATCTTTTCCTGATATTTCTGTTGAAGTCTAGTTATTGTTGTAGGTCTGTAGGAAATTTGTTAAATTTTTATGTGCTTGTTTTGTATCATGCTAGCTTATTACTTGTATTAGTTATTGTTATTTCTCAATTTTCTTGTGTTTTCCAGAAAGCAACAAAGTTCCTTATATATAAATAATGCTGTTTTTATCTTTTCCAACATTTTAATCTTAACATTTTTCATATATTTTCACATTGGCTAAGGCTCTTGGTACAATATTCATTTATTGAAGTGATCATATTCATCCCTTTATTTGAGTATGATGATTGCATTTAATATTTTGCCAGTAATTATCAAGTTCAGGGAGTTTTCTTATATTTCAGCTTGTTTTGGAGTTTATTACTCTTCTAGTCAAGAATAAGGGTTAAAATTTGTCAACTGCCTTTTTGGTATGTGTCAAGATCATATCTATTAGAATTTGTCTCAGGTTTTATTATACTAAATTGTATTAATAGCATTACTGATGCTACACTGGCCTTGTGTTACTAGATTAAATACTGCCTGGTCATTGTGGCTAGTGGTTATGATGGTTTTTAATATATACCACTGGATTTAATTTTATATATTTTGATATAAGCATAAATGAGATGGGATCTTTTAATTTTGTGTTCTGTGTTTCTCTTTCTGCTTCGTTACCGTGGTTTTACAATCGTCATAGAATAAAGTGAGACGTTTTTCATCTTTTTCTGTGCTATCCAGGGAAATCATCTGTTATTTGAAAGAGTAGTAGAATTTGACCATGTGACATCTTTGGGGTTTTGTTATTGTTGTTTACCTTTTGTTTTTAGAGCTAAGTTTTAAAATATACATGTTTTGATTTCTAAAATAGTTCTTGTCGCCTTCCTACCTTTTGTTTATCCCTTGCCAGATTTATTAGAGGCTCTGCTGCTCTCTCCACACAAACACATGGTCAGAGAGATGTTTTCTGAGGCAGAGCATGGATTTGTTTTCCATTGTGGTCAGAGAACTTGATCTTGGAAGTAAAAGTTTATGCTGTCTGTAACTTAATATATATGCTAGGATGAATTGTTAAGACTGGTTCAATTGTAAACATTACCTTGATGTTTTTTCTCAGCCTCTTTCTGTTTTATTGAATCTGAAATTGGAGTTTTCTGGGACTTCTTAAATGAAGAACTATTCCTTTTTAGTAGTGGTGTTTTCTTTTCAGTGGTTGTAGTGGTAGCATTTCTGTTCTGGATCCTGATCCAGTATACTTGTTTCCCTTCCATGGGTTCCCTAACTTGGGAGTGATACTTTTCACTATGATATTACAGTGGGCATAAATCTTTTAAGATGTCTTTTTTTGGTGACTTACTGAGATTTTGGGGGGCAAATAAAAACTGTCTTGATCAAATTTCTTTGTTTAAACCTCGGGCTAGCAAAGTTCTTCTTAAAAGGACTGACAGATATTTTAGGCTTTGTGGGGCTGTTATGGTCTAAGTTGCAGCAACTCAATTTTTTTTTTCTTTTAAAGACTATTTTTCAGGAGCAGTTTTAGGTTCACGTCAAAATGGAGGGGTGGGTAAAGAGATTTCTCATATATCCTCAGCCCTCCATATGCATAACCTTTTCCCCATTATTATTATTTCACACCAGAGTGGCACATTGGTTATAACTGATGAACCTACATTGATATATCATAATTACCCAAGTCCATATGTTTACATTAGGGTTCATTATTAGTGTTTTACATTCCAGGGGTTTGAACAAATGTAAAATGACATGTATCCATTATTATAGTGTTATGCAGAGTGTTTTCACTGCTAAAAATCTTCTGTGCTTGTCCTGTCTATCCCTTCTGCTGTTTCTGGCAACCACGTTTTATTGTCTTCATAGTTTTGCATTCCCAGAATGTCAAATATTTGGAATCATATAATATGTAGGTTTTTCAGATTGGCTTCTTTTCACTAAGTAACATGCATTGACATTTTCTCCAGGTTGTTTCATGCCTTACGAGCTCTTTTCTTTTTATTGCTGAATAATATTCCAATGTAAACATGTGTCACAGTTTGTTTATCCATATACCTGCTGAAGGACATCTTGGTTGCTTCCAAGTGTTGGCAATTATGAGTAAAGATGCTGTATACATCTGTGTGCAGATTTTTGAGTAAATGTGTTTTCAGTTCCTTTGTGTAACTGCCAAGGAACATGATTGTTAGATTGTGTGGTTAAGAGGCTGTTTAGTCAAGAATTTACCAAACTGTTTTCCAAAGTGGCTATACTATTTTGTTTTTCCACTGGCAGTGAACCAGCTTCTGTTGCTTTATATCCATGCCAGCATTTGGTGGTATCAGTATTCCAGGTTGTGGCTATTCTGATAGGTGAGTCGTGGTATCTCTTTATTGTTTTAATTTGCATTTCCATGATGGTGTATGATGTGTCTTTTCATAGGCTTGTTTACTGTCTTTACGTGTTCTTTGGTGCTGCTGCTGCTGCTGCTGCTAAGTCGCTTCAGTCATGTCCGACTCTGTGCGACCCCATAGACGGCAGCCCACCAGGCTCCCCCATCCTGGGGATTCTACAGGCAAGAACACTGGAGTGGGTTGCCTTTCCTTCTCAAGTGAATGAAAGTGAAAAGGGAAAGTGAAGTCGCTCAGTCATGTCTGACTCTTAGCGACCCCATGGACTGCAGCCTACCAGGTTCCACCGTCCATGGGATTTTCCAGGCAAGAGTACTGGAGTGGGGTACCATTGCCTTCTCCCTTCTTTGGTGAGGTGTTTGTTAAGGTTTTTGGCTCAGTTTTTAATTGAATTGCTTTTCTTATTGTTGAGCTTTGAATTCTTTGTATATTTTAGATAACATTCCTTTATCAGATGTGTCTTTTGCAAATACCTTGTCCCAGTCCATGGCTTGTCTTATTCTTTTGACTTGATCTTTGACGGTGTACTGTGAGGGCTTTCCAGATGGCACTCATGGTGAAGAACCTGCTTGCCAATGAAACGTAAGAGATGGGAGTTTGATCCCTGGGTCAGGAAGATCCCCTGAAGGAAGGTATGGCAACCTACTCCAGTATTTTTACCTGGAGAACCCATGGACAGAGGAGCCTGGTGGGCTACATACAGTCCATAGGGTCGCAAAGAGTCGGACACATCTGAAGCAGCTTAGCACAACACAGCACACTCGAGCTTATC